GAGCTTAGAATCATGTTAATTCACGTAGCCACCTTTTAGTCGTTTTTTCCTTCTGAATGTTAACTAATATAAAAGCAACTATTCCTGCAAAAAAAGCAAATAAATAGAAGAAAAAAGGGAACGTTGGTACTGAAAATAATTGTTATTACCACAAATCATCGTGATTTCGACTTCTAACCGCACCCTGTCCTCTCTGCAGTTTCTTAAAGGCTATGAAAATGACATCACAAGGGCAATGGGTTATAGTCAAGATTGAAACGGACGATTACGGATTACCGATGCAGATCGATAATGACATGAGGTGCCAAAGCCTGAAGACATCGGTGGAGCTGCACGTACACTTTGCATCCTGTGAGCCGCATGTATATTTTACTTATGCTGGGTTTGTTTGTCTTTATTATTAGTTTGGTCACCGACCGCCGACCGACGTATGGCTAAAACCATGTACAAAGCGCGTGGCCGTCAGTTTATTAATATGTGCGGACGTTCATAGATGTGCGCATGGCATTTTAATATCAGGGTTTTCCATCATCGCATTTTCAAAATTCCAAAGATAATAAATGGCTAATTTTTTTTCTAATAACTCGTTCATCCTATCCCCGCATCTTCAAAATCCCGCGAATCAAAATGCCTAGAAAATGCCTAGAAACAGTGATGGTGTTCTTTCAATCTCCCATAAAGAAAGTTATGTTGTTTCAATTCCCCCTAGAAAAGTCATATATTGTTTCACCAACTGAAAGAAAAGCAGTGATATTCAGTTTCCTACGTGGCTGCAGCAACGGCTCAGAAGCCAAACCTTGTTCACCACTTTTTCCGGTAAGAACCAGAAGAAATCTTTCTCCCGTGTCTTGTTTGACTCCTCCTCGCTAGTCGCCACACAGTCGTGCGCTTGGGTCGCTTTCCCTTTTCTCCCCCCACCCACCCATTCCTTCCCGTCGAAACTTCCACCTCGGAGTCCACCGACTCCTCTCACCATCGCCAACAACTGCTGCCTGCTAGCGTATAACCATCGCTCTCCAATCCCCACCCCCATCCACCAGCACCCCAATCCGTCCAATCCCCGCCCCATTTCTCCCCATTCCGGCGGCGGCGCCGTCGGACCGGCCGCTCGCGGCGATCGACTGCGGCCGACGGCTCCGGGCTCCCGGTATCTCTCGCCCCCCCTCTCTCCCGCGCGCGTGTCTGCGGGTACTCGTTTTCTGAATTTTTTGTTGTTGCTTCTGGTGTTTGATGGCGCAGGGTCTGGACTCTGGAGGAGGAGTCGAGCGGCATTGCTGGATTCGGCGGCAGTCGTCGAGTCGGAGGAGGCGCCTGACTGGCTGGCAGGTGAGCAATGCTCTTCGTGTGGTTAAAAGTCGGGCGCGGCGGGGGTCGAGTCTAGCAGACGGATTTGGTTGTTAGTTGTTGGTTGTTTGTGTGTGGCTTGCCAATCTGAGTGATAATAATACTGTGTGTGGTGATCTGAGTGCACTCCCGGCGTTTGATTTTGGTTCGATTCGATGCGCGTTTTGGATTGGGCGAGGTGTTTCTTAATTTGGTGGGTTAGGTGATTGGGCTATTCTAATCTTAGCCTTCTGCCACGCTGGGACAACCTAATCTGTATGTATGTTGAGTTAAGTAAGACGCCATGGAGTCTCTCCCTCCCAGTCGATGAACTGGGTATTTCAGTCAAAGGGACAAGAAAGAGCAACTGAATTTGGGTGACAATCTAATATTAGGATGCCAAATTGCGGCTGGCCGATGGAACGCCTGAACCTAACCTATATGCTATGTTCAGTAAAGCAGATGCTGTGGACACTTCTAGTTGATCAACTCTTTGTTATATTCCAGTCCAGTCAAAAGATGGAGAATGAAACCGGCCTTCTGAACCCGAACCAAAGTGGTCAGGGGATTGGCTGTTTCTAATCTTAGCTTGCGACACTGCGGATAGATTGAGTGCCTGAACCTGTTCTGTATGTTGAGTGAACTAGACATGATAAACTGGTTGGTTCAGTCAAAAGAAGAAGATAAAATAATTGGATTTGGGTGATGTTCTAATATTAGGACGCCACGTTGCGGGCAGATGGAATGCCTCAACCTATGTGTTCAGTAAAGCAGATGCTACGGGCTCTTCTAGTCGATGAACTGTTTGGCTTTTGAAGCTGAACAAACAGTATGAACTCTGAAGTGTTTAAGGGCCTGTCCAAGTGTTTAAACAATTTTCTGGCTGTCAAGTGAAATTGCTTAACTCACTGACAATGGCCAGATTTGTTTATCCTTTAGATTCTTCATTCATGTCTCCCATGGGATCTGTCAGATATATATATTCCATTCTGTACTCTTTTACACTACAGTCAACCTCTTGCATCTAAGATTCACAGCTTTGTTTTAATCAAGCACTTCATCTGCTCCAGTTATGTACTGATAAATAATGAAGCCACCTTGCTCCTTCTATTTGAACTTACAATGGATTCACTTTGTCTTTGCCCCATGTTAACATTTTCTTCATGTGGCGTTTAATTACGTAGGGTTTGGAGGAGGAATCAAGCTGCATTGCTGGATTCGGCGGCACTCGTCGAGTTGGAGGAGGTGTCTGACTGACAGGTGAGTAATACTCTTTGTGTGGTTAAAAGTCGTGATGAGTCGGGCCTGGTAGATGGATTTGGTGCTATGCTTGTTAGTTGTCTATGCGCGGTCTGCCAATCTTAGTAATATTGTGCATGGTGATCTGGCGGGAGATGTCTGAGTGCACTCCTGGTGTTTGATTTTGATTCGATGCGCGTTTTGGATTGGGCGAGGTGCTTCTTAATTTGGTGGGTTTGGTGATTTGGCTATTCTAATCTTAGCCTGCTGTGACGCTGGGACAACCTAATCTGTATGTATGTTGAGTTAAATAGACGCCATGGAGTCTCCCTCCCAGTCGATGAACTGGTTGTTTCAGTCGAAAGAAGAGGAAAGTGCGCCTGGATTAGGGTGATAATCTATTAGGATGCCACGCGGCGGCCGATAGAATGCCTGAACCTGACCTGTATGTTATGTTCAGTAAAGCAGATGCTGTGGACTCTTCTAGTTGATCAACTCTTGGTTATATTCCAGTCCAGTCAAAAGATGGGGAATAAAACTGGCCTTTTGAAGCTGAACCCAAGTGCTTAGGCGATTGGCTGTTTCTAATCTTAGCCTGCGACACTGCGGATAGATTGAGTGCCTGAACCTGATCTGCATGTTGAGTGAACTAGACGTGATAAACTGGTTGGTTCAGTCAAAAGAAGAAGATAAAATAGTTTGATTTGGGTGATATTCTAATATTAGGACGCCACGTTGCGGCCAGATGGAATGCCTCAACCTATGTGTTCAGTAAAGCAGATGCTATGGGCTCTTCTAGTCGATGAACTGTTTGGCTTTTGAAGCTGAACAAACAGTATGAACTCTGAAGTGTTTAAGGGCCTGTCCAATTGCTTAATTCACTGTGACTCGTTGACAATGACAAGATTTGTTTATCCTTTAGATTCTTCATGTCTCCATGGGATCTCTCAGATATGTATTCTCTTTTTAAAAGTTTGTCAGATATATATTCCATTCTGCACTCTTTTACACTACAGTCAACCTCTTGTATCTGATATTCGCAGGCTTTGTTTTAATCAAGCACTTCATTTCCTGCAGTTATATATAGAAAATAGAGGTGAGATCTGCATCATGCATGCAGGAAAAGGGTGATGATGCTTGCATAGTTACAATGCAGTAACACAGCTTGGGCTAAATGCACGCACATACACAAATTATATAGCTTTAAGACTTTAACTAATTGGCATAATCTGCAGGGCCACCTAAGCTTTCTTCCAGACCTAGTTTTGGGTGAGGATCCATATTTTGTTTGGCCAATATTCTTTCCGTCTTGGGTACTCAACCTTGATAGAAAGTTTTTATAAACATATGTACAAATAATTAGGGGCTTTCTTTGTATCCACAATAATTATTCAGATAACTACTTGAGAAAATATATAATACTTTGAAATTTAAATCCCACCGCATCTAGACCCATTTCAAATCTCAATTTCACACTGAAATCCCCCCAATCTACCTAGCAGCCACTTGTTCCCACCTCATTACAGGCTCCTGCAGTCGCCTTTGCACGCCTACACTCTTGTCTCGTATTTCGGTGCCCCCTACTGTTCAGTGTTCACCATCCATGGCAGGTTAATATTTTCCCAATAAAGAAAGATGCTTGTCATCTGAGCCATATTCGTTGGGCTTGATTTGAGTTTGGATCTGAACTATATTTTTTCTACTATAAATCTTCCCCTGCCTAATGCCAGTTATTTTGCTCCAAAATTTGTTACTCTTGTTTGAATATTTGCATGTCCTTAGCAATTGATGCTTCTACCATTCATTTAGCATCGCCCAATCTTCTTTTATATTGGGCTGCTCGCTTTAAGTCAATCACGTGGGTTTGATTTTTCAGTCTTTGTAAAATTGATCTGTTTGACAAGAAAATAAAACAGAAAAGTTCAATATTAATCTGTAGTATTTGCTCAATATTCAAGAGGGTTTCCTGTTAGTTCTACTCTTCTTTGTCTTCACCAAATGCAATGGAATTGGCCAGCATGTGACTGTTTTTAGGTGGTGCATACTCATGTTTTAGTTTCTTTTGTGCACAGTGGTAAAGCTGCTGCCTTGTGACCATGAGGTCACGGGTTCAAGTCTTGGAAACAGCCTCTTACAGAAATGTAGGGAAAGGCTGCATACAACAGACCCAAAGTGGTCGGACCCTTCCCCAGACCCTGCGCAAGCGGGAGCTAATGCACTGGGGCTGCCCCTTTTATACTCATGTTTTAGTTTCTTTTGTGCACATTGGAAGAATGTGAATGCAGAATTAATTCAAGATAAAGTCTGTAAATCTTATATATATGTTATATGAAATTTCATAACCCAATTTTTTCTTGCAGGCGCCAACAGAGCTATGAAATATTTTGTATTCAGATGACATAAGGAGTATTGAGTCTTGTATATTTGTTTAGAAAGAGATGAAAGTTGGTGCTCTTCTGACCTCTGCTGGAATCAACATTGGTCTCTGTATACTTTTTCTGTCATTCTATTCCGTTCTGAGAAAGCAGCCACAGAATGTTAAGGTCTATTTTGGGAGAAGGATTGCTGAGCAGCATAAGCGGCTCCGAGGGGCTTTTATTTTGGAGAGATTTGTTCCATCCCCTAGCTGGATTGTGAGAAGTCTGCAATGCACGGAAGATGAGATCCTATCTACTGCTGGGTTGGATGCAGTTGTTTTCAATAGAGTTCTAGTATTTAGGTGCATACATTTTTACTTTTGCTTTCTTTGCCTCTGCAATATTTACTGTTTGATGTTTATGATAGATATCTTTTGAGTTGTGCCGAGTAGAAGGTTCACTTTTGAAAATAGCAACATGCCGATTTGATTTTTAAGCTATATTGCTTTCATTCTAATCATTGATATGTGAGTGACATGATTTTCCTCCTTAAAACTAGAAAAATTCAGAACATTTTAATATGAAAACCCAATAAGAAAATCGAATTAACTTTGTATAATTGCAGAAAAATAGGAATGTGATCTGATATCTTAATGTAGAGATGATAGAAACAATAAACTTAATAAATTTAAGCACCTCCTAGATCAAAATGAAACCGGTAGACTTAACTGGTCAAATGGACAATCTGAGGGATGTTTGTTACAGTTTAGTCCAATTTAATTACTTCTGTGTCCACAAGCATTATTTAATCGCCACCATTCTTGGTAGATGTGGGTTTCTTCGTTTTACAGATGATGTAAACATCCGTATACTAAAAGGAAACATTATTATATTAGAAACCTCTTTGCTATACTCCTGCTTATTGTATATCCTTCCACTTCATAGTTCCAACATCCAAATTCAGTTAGCTGATGTATGTTTTTTTTCAACAGCATACGCATATTCTCATTAGCTGCCATTCTTTGTTTATTTGGAGTTCTCCCCTTGAATTATTTTGGACAAGATATGCAGCATGAACGGATTCCTTCAGCATCATTGGAGACATTTACAATAGGAAATATGAAAGAGAAATCAATATGGTGAGCAATTGAGCTTCTCTTATTTGGTTATGAGGAGGCTAACTTGGTTCATTGAATATGCCATCTTATATGTTTCATCTTTTGTTTAGCTGATTTATACCTTGTTCCGGTGTTACCTATGATCTAAGTTATTAGTTCTGTGTTTGTTGTATATACTGGTCACGTAATCATTTAGGCAGTTTTCTTTGGAACTTATACTCTTGGATTTTGTTTGGTCATAACTGCAGGCTCTGGGTCCATTGCGTCGTGCTGTACATCATATCTGGTGTAGCTTGCTTTCTTCTATATATGGTACGCATCAGTAATTTTACCTTTCAAAATTACTTAAATGTTCGTTTACCTTAATCTTCAGGAACCTTATTTGTAAAAAAAAATCCTACATTGTTGCTTTAGGAATACAAGCATATTGCTAGACTGAGGTTGCTTCATCTTGTTCGAACAACGACCAACCGTAGCCACTTTACTGTCCTTGTCCGTGGGATACCAAAGTCAACTCATGAATCATTCAACAACGCTGTTGAGAGTTTCTTTACAACGTACCATGCACCGAGTTACCTATCCCATCAAGTTGTTTATAAAGTTGGTAAACTTCAGAAGATAGTGGTAAGCAATATCTCATCAAGTTATGTGATTCTGATATGTGGACTTTACCAACTTTCTATTCTCTTTTGTGGAAATGGAATGCTGCCGCCAGAGATTCCTGATTAAATATTGTTGTACTTATCTCCGCACTATCCCGTAATAATGAAATATTAAAACTGTTTGATAGCCACTGATAAACAAAAGTAGATCAGTGGTAGTCTGGTAGAGCACATGCACAAGCATTGTACTCATGGCAAGTCAAGGCAGCCCAGGGGTGCCATGGCGATAGTTAAGCGTTAAACAAAAATAATATATCATATAGCAGAAAACGTGAAACTATACCTCATATTGTTTTTCCATAAGCCTCCCAACAAGGGGAGCCGGATTCCACTATAAGCATAATGAACAGAGTTTTATTTCAAAACGAAAAAGAAACAAAAACTAAAAGAAATAAAGTCCAGGCAACCAGCTACAAGGAATTAACCAGACCAGGCCACCACCCAAAAGACCTGAACACAAACAGCCAAGGTTCTTAGCAAAACAGACGCTAGCACCAGCACAAAACAAAGTACTACAACCTTGCATCCCAGGATCCCACATAGCACCAAATGAGCTTTTTCAATAGGTACCAAAGTTACTGGCGGTCGTCCTCTCCTCATCCAGACTGACCACCTTCATATTCTTCCTCCGCCTCTGCAATGCTAAGAAGAGTATTGTTTGGAGAGGCACGGGCAGCTTCATGAGTCCTAACAGCAGAGCTACGGATCGCCGACGCCCCATCCAGCAGGTTTTGCTTATCACTATCCTTGATATTAGGAGATTTAGAACTTAAATAACAAGAAACATCAACATAAAGGCAGCACCAGTTAACATCAATTAGCAACTAGCAAGTCCATACCATAGGACAACTATACAGCAAAGAGCAAACTAATACGTTGGTAGCATCTATCATGACCTGACATGACTTCAACACATGCCCTCAAGCCTCAAATCATTTTGTGTAGATTATGGAAAGTCTTCTTTCAACTTCACTGCTTCAACTTCGTCCTCCTCATCTGTATGTAGTTACATGGCTTTAAACATCCCTGTGTTTAAGTAGTGGTGATCTCTTCACTAGGACTACTTGTCACCAATAATATTTTGCAACACGCAGAATCGTTGTACTCCCTCCATTCCAAATTACTCGTCGCAGAAATGGATGTATCTAGAACTAAAATACATCTAGATACATCCATACCTGTGACAAGTAATTCGGAATGGAGGGAGTAGTTTTTTTAGAGCAATGCAAACCACCTTTATGGAACCAGCAAAGCAGGACTATAATTACCATAAAGCACTGCCAATGAGATTACAAGAGGCCGGTGAGCTGTTTGACCAGCACCATCTTTGCATATTGCTATTGGCTTGTCTAGAGCATCTCTCTGGCGGAATTCTTAAAACTCATGCTAAGCTCTTTGCGTAATCTCTGTAGTGCAACTGCACAGGACAATATGTCGAACTGAAATTCAGAATAGGCTCCTTACAAGTTTTAAGTGTACATGTATTTCTTTTTGTTGGGTAATTCAAAACTATTATACATGCAACGCATGCTTTTGTGATGCAGGATCATTCGTATATCACGGGGGAACTTTTTTCAGATCTTTGAATCAATACCCTCATTGCATGTTCATAGTACTATCTGTTTGTAGTGATAGCTTATATCCTTACTTTTCAGACGGGTGCGAAGAAGGTTTATAGGAAGTTCAAGCATTTTAAGGGTACCACAGTCGATCAGACATGCAGATCCGTGACATATCGATGTTGTCTTTGTGGGGTGTCATCAAATTCGTTCCAGTTGTTGCCCACTGAAGAGCAAGAAAGGGAAAAACCTTGTGTGAAAAATTCAAACTTGAACTTACCTGCCGAGGTAAACTAGCTATCATTTGGTTCTTTGCTTACTATTATCCTCACTGAATTATTCTAATCTACTAATTTAATTGTGCTCACCGAATACAGGAATGCTCTGCTGCTTTTGTATTTTTCAAAACGCGGTATGCAGCGCTAATTGTATCCAAAATTCTCCAGACATCCAATCCTATGAAATGGGTCACTAGTCTGGCCCCAGAACCTAAAGACATGTACTGGTCAAATCTTTGGTTACCGTACAAGCAGCTTTGGATTCGCCGCATAGCTACACTTCTTGGTTCTATTGTTTTTATGTTCATTTTTCTTGTACCTGTGACATTTATACAAGGTCTAACTCAGCTGGAACAGCTGCAGCAAAGGCTCCCTTTCCTGAAAGGGTTATTGAAAGGGTAAGCAATCTTAACGCTTAGAACTCACCTTGTTATTATTAAATGCAGGGTCTAACTCAGCCGGAGCAGCTGCAGCAAAGGATCCCTTAATTTGTATTGACAATACAATGTGCGTTAATCAAAATGACTCAATTTGTTAGTAGGATTTAATCTAGGGTTGAGTATCCGAGATAACATTCAATTATGAGGCCTTCCCTTTCTCTAAAAAAGCTATCACAATTATGGCGGTGGTTCAAATTAATAGGTATAGTTTTGAGGCATATAGTTCATATTTTTTCGGTCCAATTCATGATCTAGGAATGCGCGCGTGCCTTATAAACCGGACGGGTGGGAGTACTGAAGTGTGGAGATATTGCAGTCTTTAATTTATCATTACAGCAAAATTTAACGATTATTAATTCTCCTGCAGGAAAATCATGACCCAGCTAGTAACTGGATACCTTCCCAGTGTGATCTTGCAAATATTTTTATATACTGTCCCCCCGACCATGATGCTATTTGCGACACTAGAGGGACCTATTTCTCACAGTGAAAGGAAGAAAAGTGCCTGTTGTAAAGTATTATACTTCTCCATTTGGAATGTCTTCTTCGTCAACGTCCTATCAGGTTCTGCAATTAACCAACTTAACGCCTTATCAAGACCAAAGGACATTCCAATGGAGCTTGCGAGGGCAATTCCTTTACAGGTGAATCACATATTTATGTTCTGTTGTTTATGAAGGTGCAAAATATAAATATTTAAGTAGGTATATGCAGTGTATTTATTTGTTTTTAGGTTGAGTTTCTCCAGGTGCTCACTGCATTTTATTGATGACTTCTTTTTTACTTCCATTTCAGGCTACCTTCTTTACCACCTATGTTCTGACTTCAGGATGGGCTAGTCTGTCGTCGGAAGTTATGCAACTCTTTGGCCTTATTTGGAACTTTGTAAGGAAATATATTCTGAGAATGAAAGAAGATAGCGATTTTATCCTCTCGTTTCCGTATCACACTGAACTACCAAAAGTTCTGTTGTTTGGACTATTGGGCTTCACATGCTCTGTGCTAGCACCTCTGATCTTGCCCTTTTTACTACTCTACTTCTTTCTTGCCTACATTGTGTACCGAAATCAGGTGAGAAACTAGATATAAACTTAAAACATTTAATTTGTTTGTAAACGAAGTTGTTATTTGAAGTCCTCATGCATAATTTGGTCTATAATTATGAATGAATAAAGTAAAAAATATATGTTCGAATGTGTATGCGATCATTTTGTCTGAAATTATTCTTTTATAATGGGCGAAATTTGAATTTGATAAATCCTCGTGTGCTAGCTCCATTTTAGGTGAAATGCAATCTTTGTCTTGGATATACCATTTGATCTGTTTTCTCTGGCCTTGTATAACTTTATTGTGGTTAGATATCTTTTAGTTATTTAACCTGAGTTTTAGGGTAACTCAAACCGTTTTTCCTAGTTCGTGATTTTGTTTACACTACATAGTATTCGTGGAAGAATGTCCTCTGTGCTCCTATAACCTAATGGGTTGGTAATTTATCATTTTCAGTTCATCAATGTTTATTGCACAAGATACGACACTGGCGGTCTATATTGGCCAATTGCGTACAATGCAACAATATTCTCTCTGGTGCTCACCCAGATCATCTGCCTTGGTGTCTTTGGCCTTAAAGAATCCCCAGTAGCTGCAGGCTTCACTGTACCTCTTATCATCATCACTCTTTTATTCAACCAGTATTGTAGAATGCGTCTTCTGCCGTTATTCGGGACTTTCCCTGCACAGGTTAGTATGATTTCTTTAACAATTGGTAGAATTTAACCTATACATACAGAATTGGAGTCTGTGGGGATCAACTATTTAGGTATATAGGATCTGTTTACAGAGGGATTAGTTACTTGAAATGGATCCTGTTATATATATAGTTTTCACTTGCCATTATTTGTTGTTGGACACACGCAGGTTTTGATAGACATGGACAGAGAAGACGAGCAATCGGGCAGAATGGATGAGATTCACAAGGGCCTTCATTCCGCTTACTGTCAGTCCACCGATACGGAATCAGCCGATGACATATCTCTGGAAAGAGTTCAAGCTATCAGTACAACAGATGAAGATGGCAGCGGCAGCTCAGGTGAACCTAGCGGCAAAGAAAGCGTCGGACAACCAGTAACTGACTTGTCTCACCCGACACTGAAAGGGCTCCCCGTTGAGCGGCTATGGCGCGCGGTGAGATCACTCGGTTTCATGATCAGATTGCAGAAGAGAGGCGTATCAGCGTAAGCCGTGGTTGGTGAATGTACAAACTGCATACAGTGTGCACATAGAACAACACAGAGACACCAAGATACACACATACGGATATTACGCTGCTCCAAGGAAAAAAGAATGGAGTGTCACCTGTTTTTCTTTTCTTTTGAAAGTCGATGTGTTTGCCTGTTTGGTTGCAAGGGTGCAAGCAATTTTGTGTTTAAATCGATGCCTGCGCGACTTTTCAGGCCATTTGTGGCCATGATGCACGGACCCTTGAATTGCTTGCTGCGGCTTTGCTGCATTGTAACCTCGGTTAAACAAGTTGTTGTGTCTGGTTTCAAAAAAAAAAAAAAAAAAAACAAGTTGTTGTGAAAGAAAGCAATCCATCCAATCCGTGTCTACACGTGCCTTTGTTTTGTTCGACCGCTCTGTGCCCCTGGCCCTGGGCTGAACTATGTACACATGTTTTTACAGCGTCCGTCCCGAATTACTTGTCGTAATTCATATCCATTTCCGCGAAAGTAATTCTGGACGGAGGGAGCTGTGAAACTGAATCGAGCAGAGGAAGGTTTTTTCTTGCTGCTGTTGGGAATTGGCAAGGGCGCAGTTCCACAGCGAGTTCCTTGCTGCTTCAACCAACAGACAGAGCCGCAGAGGAAGCATGATACGATGCCAAACGAGGAACAAGGAATGACTTGCCATCGTTTCTTAGTTCCAACCCAGAATTATTATTACAGGATACAGATTACAACGAGATGCCGCACACTGACACGAGTGTAGGCGATGCACCACGGCTTTGGATCGGCGAGGAAGTCAACGAACGGCCGATGCTGATTCGCCGACCACGGCCCGGCCCGTACCTTACATCACAGGATAGCGCAGGTGGAGGACTCCTCGACGGCGCCGGAGGTGGAGCCGGCGGCCTTGTCGCCGCCGGCGGAGACGCCCGGCCAGTCGCGGCAGGCGCAGTGCTGGCCCTCGGGGATCTGCCGGTGGACGGAGGCGACGTGGACTTGCCGCACTTCACCAGGCAGCACATCCTCGCGCTCGCTCGGTCGATTGCTCTGTTGCTGGCTCTCCGGTGGCGATCGATGGATGGAATCCGTTGCTTCAAGACGACTCGCTGGCTGCCTCTTGCTTTGCCCTGCTCTTCTCTTTGGTTTAGTTTAGTTTGACAGCTCCGTTCCTCCGTCTGCACAAGAATTGAAGAATTGACTTTTTCTTTTTCTTCTTTTCTTATTCCAAGAAGCAGAAGAATTGAAATGATCATGTGAATGAAACAAGGCATTGGTGTGGCGGTCTGGCCTATGCTAATCAAGAGATGCCTATTATCACCGACAAGGTGCTTCATTATGTTCGTCGACAAGGTGACGACGCAAGTCTAAAATAAATCTCCACACCAAACAGGTGCTACTGTTTTAGTATTTGCAAAATGAAGAGATCTTTGTTGCGAAACTGTGCCTAGTAGCACGCTAACACAGCCGGGGAGATACCAGGCGACAAGCGTGGTAAAAGCAATCTCAAATTGACAAAAAAAAACACAGCCGGGGAGATACACGGCGCAAGGAGAGCCATCGCAACCACCGTGCTCCGTGTGTGTGCCGGGAGAACTCCACGGAAGATCCGAGCAAGCAACTCATTGCTTACGTCACGCGTGCGGCAGCTTCACTTTCAGTTTTCAGACCGTCGTGGGTCAAGCAAGGAATTCTCCGTGATTTTTTTTTTTATGATGTGAACCGAAGAACGTCTACTTTGCTATTCCTATTCATAAGATTTGAGATACATGGCATCTCATTTTCTGTGACTTTTTTGTTTTTATGATTTTCTTATCTTATAAACTTGCTCGAATGTCTTGAGGTCGCAGTCGGAGTTGTCCTCCAGCAATGTCTTGATCTCCTTGAAGCGAATTTGCGCATGGTAGTAGTACTGTGTGCACAATAACATGGCCTCCTTCATGCGGTCGGATCCCGACCGCAGCGACTCGTCGTGTAGGACTTGAGGACCGCGTCGGCGGCAGCGAGCGCGTGGCTGCGTACGTCACCGCTGTCCGGCGAACCCTCAAGCATCTGGACGCAGATGTCGTACAGGAGCTTGCTGGTGCTCGCCTGACGGCAGGCCGCAGTGGACGTCGCCCGAACGTCCTTGCACTTGCCGGCCTCGGCCCCGGCGACGAACATGACGAGCAGGGTCAGAGACAAGGCACCGGTCTTGCCCATGGGGAATCTTGGAAGTACTAGTGCGACTGGGAAGGGTGCTGTACTGTGTATGTACTGCTACGGGCAGGACAAGGTGAAATGTGGAGTGTACCTACTGTATATAAAGACGTTTCCTTTTAATTTAGTTGTATTAATGGCTTGATTTTTAAATTGATTCAATGCTTGGTTTTCAAACTATTTTCACATTAATGGCTGCGTCCCAACAACGGAAAAAAATTGTATGAGACCGGGTCTCATAGACCAGCTTGTGAGACCCTATCGGATGAGCGACATGTGGCATTGACAATCTCAGAGCATCCTAATCCCACTTCACGTCTGATCTCAATCCCAACAGCTGATTCCCGATTCCAGAACCCCACGTACGTACGTACGTACATCCTTCATCGCTCTAATAGGTACGTGGGACTAGGGTTTTCTTTATTTTCCTCGCGTCTATGGCGGCCACGCCCAAGGGCCTCGACGGCGGCGGCCAACCGGCACGACGCAGCAGCGAGGACCTCTCTTCCATGATCTCGCCGAAGAAGCTCGTCGCCGGCGGCCTGTCGGACGGCTCGTCCATGGCGGATGCATGCCACGATGTTGGCCCGGCGGACACCACGTTCATGGCGGCCGTGCGCCACGGCGTCGTTGCGGACGGCCGGACCGACTCCTCGTAGAGGCGCGTCTAACTGCTCCTTGCCAGTGCACTTGCTTGTCTCCGTCGTCGCGTTCCAAAAC